GAAATTTGCCGCTGACTTATTCCACCATCTGCTTGACCAACTATCCTTCCTCTAACAAAATCTAACAATTCGAGAGAACCTTGAGTTCTAGGCATGTTGTAGCACAAGATAATTAGTGTGCGAACCATTTTAATTTATATAGTGCTCTGTGAACACAAATTAGTTAGCATAAATCAGTTAAGTGGCGAAAAATGAGGTGTCTATTTACTTGTGACCACTCAATGTAAGCACAAAGCTACACAATGGGCTATGTGTGCTCTGCTCACCACAGGTATCGAAACCCAAATTCTAGCGTTGTAAGTCCGCAGACATACCTCTGTGCCACTGGGGAGCAAGGGCACAAGAAACGTTCATGCCAAATTTGGTGAAGATCCATCAACAGGAAGTGAGGTAGCGGTAAAAAACGCCCTTAAAAACCGCAAAATGCAAAGTTGAAAATTTGTATGTATATCTCCATAGACCCAATGAACCTCCAAAACCAATTTGGTGATGATACATCCACAGGAGGTGAGATAGTGGTAAAAAACGCAAAAACACTCATAAAAACCGCAAAACTGAAAATTTGTATGTACCCCCGTTTGGTGAAGATCCATCCACACCCTGCGAAGTAGTTACATGGACATACAACAGGCAGTACTATTATATTTATATAGATTTGGTTTACAAATACAAATAATACTGTGCTTAGCACCTTAATTGTTATAAAACATTGTTAAGAAATTCTTGAAAGTAGCAATAAATATTAGCGCAAGTAGGGGTAAAACCTTTCTACCCCTCTTCTTGCCCTCTTGTCCCCTATTTCAGCGAACTTTATGACCCAGCTTTAAAGTTAAATCTGGACTAGAAATAAAGTTCTCTAGTTGAGTCCAGGAATTCTGATAATAAACCGCAAGCCATTCATTGTATAAAAATAATACAAATGTTATTAAGCTTATATATTATTTAATGTATAATCATGCATCAATCACTTTGTTGGAGAAATATAATGGCAGGTGTGAATTGTAGTTTATCTGAATATTTTGCATCAAAATACAAAGTTTTATGTTTCTTGTTCAATTATTTGGTTGTAAATAAATGCCACAAATATTGAAAGCCTGAGTTGTAACAAAGAAAATGGAGAGATAAAAAAAGCCTTATTTTGTGTGAATATTGAACTTAACACACTACATAATGATGTATAAATATATCAGTTCACCAGTGCTGAAGAAGATTGATTGTATAGAGTATTTTGTTCTATAAAAAGAAAATATATTTAAACCGTTACTTAAACATATTGTGTGAAACATTTGGCTGTATAATATTGCTGACCTGTTTATAGTTCAATAATTTATTTGTAACGATAAAAACAAAATTTCTATTCCCTGTCAAAATCATCCATTGTTAGTAGCAGCACGATTAGTTGAATAAATATACGATCTAGACTGATAAAGTGATAAAACTGTTTTGGGTTTTTACGGTGGACATCAGCGATACTTTTCTATCTTTTTTTTTTCATTGTTGTCACCTAGTGCGTAAAATTACAACTACGTACCTAGTGTATATTTTGGGAGTTTTTAAAATAGAAAAGGTAGTTTCTGAGGGTAAGAAGTTACTTGTAAATAGTCTATTAAACTTCAAAGACTGTCCAAATGTTGCATATTTTAAAAGGTTTACCATTTAACTTTTATTTGTAAGGTTATAATTTTGATAACAGTAGATACTGTCAATCACAAGAAGAAGAAAAATCTACTAATTTTGTTTGTTTGTTCGAAGTTAAGCACAAAGCTACACAATGGGCTATCTGTGCTCTGCCCACCATGGGCTTCAGGAAGGGACATGAACGTTATAGAAGCTCATGACGTGTTACCAGCGTCACGTGACTTCCGCTGTCGTAACACTACTTACTGGGTATGATATTAGTAAATGTGTTGTATCATGTAGTTTAATATATTCGAAAATATATTACCTTTTATTTTAATTGTTAAGTATAAATACATGTATATAGATATAATATGTCTACATAATTTCTCTTTATTGATTGAGTTAGATTTTTTTTTCAAAATCTTTTCAGAATATTGTATTTATCAAAAAAATAACTCTACTTACGAAACCATTTCACTGAAAAAAATCACCCATTAGATAGAAATAATAAAGTTTACTTGCTTTGTATAAATTGCCTCCCACTGGTTCAACGGTAAGTCTGCAAGCTTACAACACTATGAAACAGGTTTCAATACCCGTGATGGGCAAAGTACAGGTAACTCTTTGTATAGTTTTGTTATTAACAACAACGAAAAGCAAAAAATGTAACAAATTATTTCGCTCCCTCCGGTGGGTAAGCGGTAAGATTACGGACTTATAACACTAAAATCCGGGATTTGTGTAGCTTTGCGTTAAAACAACAATATTATTATTGTTTTTGAGTTTATTGTATTAGATTAATTTGGACAAATGAATACTCAAAATACAATAGTATTTGCTTAATGTTAGAAACCATTGAATCATCAAACCATAACAAGAGGGAATCCTCAATAGCATCGGCGCTTGAAATTATTTTAGGCAAGATTGGAGTAAATTAATCTATGAGACATTTTTCTATTAGCTATATTTTTGTGCGCCAGCAATACCAAGCGTGGTGCGCGCTTATACCCGCTTCGACTTTATTACTCATCAGGATTTCTGCTAGCTTATCCTCATATTGAAATTATTTTAGGCACAATAAGAGTAAATTAATCTATGAGACCTTGGACGTGGTCTAATACATCAATCAAAAGAGTTTGACCCCCTTATTCCAAAACTGTAATTAGATCTCAAATCGGTCAAGAGATGACGGAGCTATGAGCTAAAAAAAACAACAAAAAACAACTCAGAGGCATTCTGTATCGAAACCTGGGTTCTAGCGTTGTAAGTCCGCAGACATACCGCAGTGCCACTGGGGGGAGCTCTACTAATTTAACAAGTGTCCTTCTGTGATGTCTCTTGATTGCATAATCAAGGCCAGAAACTAGAGCTTTTTTCATTATTTCACGCACAAGTAAGCTCATTATTTCAAAGGGCGGATCTTTTTTCATCAGACACTGACACCCCTTGCCACCCTCATTGCTTCAGCGGCAAGTCTGTGGGACTTATAACGTTAAAAATCTGGTTTTGATACTCGTGGTGGGCACATCACAAATAGCCCATTGTGTAGCTTTGCGCTTAACGACAAACAAACATTGAAAATAAATTTGAAAATAACCTTTTTATTTTAAATTTAAATCTGGAATGTGTTGCTGAAAAAGTTCACACCCATGCTTATTTATATTTACATTTTAAAACAATAGTCTAATAAAAATATTTGCCGAGAGTGGAGTGTGTCGTTAATAGGTTTGTTAATTCTGCTTTTTTTTTGTTCAACTTTATATAAAAGAATAAATAACTTATTATTATTATTTTAAAACTGAAGTCAATGTGACATATTCAACTTATATCGTGGCGCACGTGTTGTTTTGGAAGGTGTATTCTTGTGAGACAACAAATCAAACTTTTTATACGCAATTAATTTTTTGAAGGTCGTTTTTAAAGAAAGTTTGTATGTTTGGCTTTTATTTTTTTACGTTTAAGGTGTATTTATATAGCCTAGATGTTATTATGGGTGATTGATAATGTCGAGTCTTAAGTAATAAAATATCAATAATTTAAAAATTTAATAGGTAGATGTAGCTTTGGAGTACTAGTGCTAGTAGTAATACTATGACAATGAGTACTCGAGTCTTCCGAGATTCTTTTATTTTTTGATTTAAGTTGAGGAGAATTAAGCTTATAAAAGAAAAACAAAAGAGAATTACAATTCACGTTCATGTTTTCTAGAGCATGAGGACAGGGCTACAGATAAAACATTTCGTGTTTTCTTATAACTTATTATAAATATATTCCAAAGATTCGAAGACGTTTTTGAGCTGCATAAGTTCTAATTTCGACCAGAGCGAAAATCACCACTCAATCATTAAAATATTCTGATCTTGTTAGGTTAAGATAAGGGTTAATATTCTTACGAAGACCGCTGTGGTACAATTACATCGAATTCAAAAGGGGGAAAACATTTATAACAACAACAACAAAAAGGTAGTTTATAAACGGATGTTTTTAATTTTCACAACGTTTTGGGCCTCTGGCGATTTTGAATTTAAACTAGTATTAGTATTAAAGTTTAATGGAACAAAACTTCAAGATGTTTAAAAGTTGTGAAGATTAAAAACATATATTTATAATTTACTCTACTTTGGTATAAGTTTTTTTTCATTTTTCTTGATTTTAATGTAAGTGTGAATAGGCCTAATAGTATTACTGTAGTATTAAGTGAAAATTTTGATGTTATTGTTACTAACAATGTTACTATACCTTAAGTTGTATAACTTGTCTTTAAACTTAGTTTAATCTAGACTAAATCAAACGTTAGTTTTTTTCACAATCTACTTGAGATAAAATAACATTGCTCAACTTCTAAGTTCAACTCGTATCAAAATTAAAGCTATAGATCTGCTTTATATATATATATATATATATATATGTGTGTGTGTGTGTATGTATATTTCACTTACATTTATCTAAAACCTGACATTTGGACTAGGTATCATTAATTCCTATGAATAAAAAATAATTAGTACTGATGTAAACATGCAGTGCCAATAGGAAGAGTTCCTTGTCTGCATTGAAAGAAATTTTACTGTCTAGTTTGTTAAAGTGCAGTGATATGTAATTTCAACCTGTGGTTGTGGCTATAACTTATAAGTATACTTAAATACAATAAAATTAGCTTTCTATTACTTTTTATATTTACATTATTATTGGTTGCTGTGAGATCTGAGGCAGAAAGTACAAAATAACTTAAGCGTAGAGGTATTCTCACATTCCATTCATAGGAGAGAAATCTTTCCATAGATAATATGCCCACTTTTCTCCTTTAAAGACTTACCTCAGAGTTTAAGCAATCTTAATGAGCAGTATGGTGTTATATTGTTAAATATTTTAATATCTTATGCAAAAAATATCTGAATACTGGACCTTTGTGTGTATTGTTTTCAAAGTTAACTTTCTGCATCACTGATTATAGGACAAGCAATGTAGACAGTAATGTAAGTAGAAAATTTTGAAATATTTATGTTTACATTTGATGCTCTGAAATAGTCTCTTAGCCATGATAATAAAACTGGTGGTGCCTTAAACTGTTTAGAAGGTTCTCTAGTCCATGCCATTAGGAGTAAAGTTAATATTTTCTTTAGTATTACACTATTTTTTTTTTTATTCCATCTCATGCTGAGACAGAACATAGGAGCTGATGTTTAAATCTAGTTTCATTGGCACAAGTGGATGGCATTAGTAATACACTGCCCCTGGATGGGATGTCAGTTTATTGAAGGTTAACCCATAGCTACCAGTTATATGGCTAGATAGACTGAAATGATTGACATAAAATGTCTTTCTCATGAAAGCAACAATATGTTGAAAACATACCATACACTCATAACATTTTGACTGTGAGTCCAAAGCAATAGTCACTCGAGCTGGTCAGTTAGTGGAATTTGATAATTTATTAACTGTTGGGCTCATTAATCAATTACATTCAATTAATCAATTATTCTTGCATGAGACTTGGATAGTTGGAATAACCAAACAGAGTAGTAATTAGAAACATTAATATCAATTAGTTTATTATTTTCATGAGTTGTGACATTAATTGATTAAGCTGAACAATCTTGAATTAATTGAAAATAATAATGAGAAATCATAGTGGTAATAGTTAAATTACTTGTACATTTGGACTAACTGAAAACAGTTGCAATTGGAAACATTTTGATTACTTGAGTGTTGCTTGACATTAATCGAGTTAATCATAATTTCAATTAATTATTTCATGGGACATTAAACAATGTAATCAGTGCTCATAGGTTATTGATTATATCGATTAACAGAGTTATTCAACCAGCTCTTTGTAGCCACTGGTCCACTCTGCTCGCATATGTTTGTATACCCTAGGACAAAGGCTTGATAATATAAACTGTAATTAAGACCAAGATGAAAAATCTGAAATATGTCTGCTCAGAAAGGAAAAGAGAATATTTGAAAATTGTATATATGTTATGTCAATTGAAATGTAAGACCATTCATTTTAATTTAAAACATTTAGTATAAAATCATGTTAAAAACATTTTTAATTTGGGATTTACACACTGAAGTTTTTGGGATGTCAAGCACCTATTAGGCTACACTATTACTCTGAGAGAAGGCATCTTGATTAATATGGCAAGATGTACACTGCATCTAGAATTAAATATAAGCTTATGGACACACTAGGTGACAGGAGGCCATTCAGCTAATTCACATCAACATCTTCCCAATAAGCATTTGAAAAATTAACATTGCACCATATCATTAAGTAAACCATTGTACAAGTTTGCAACTCTGACAAAAGGATAGTTATGAATTTAAGCAGTATTTCCTGTCCTGAACAGTTGTTATATAAAAACAAGATTGAACAGAATCATCACATTAATTTTTAAAAATTTTTAATTGTTAAAAAAAAAGAAAAGATATTCAAAGAATCATAAAGCTCCTTGGCCAGATAATATTTTCCAAAAGATTTTGAAGGAGCTTAAAGATTGGATATGTGAGTCACTTTCTGCTATTTTTTGTATATCCTAAAAGAGTAGGCAGGTGGTAGAGGAATGGAAGTTGGTTAATCTTACTACTATTTTCAAGAGAGGTGTTAAAAATTATCCTGGTAATTATAGGCCTATTAGTCTTGCATCATTGGTGGAAAAAGATTTTTAAAGTCTGATAAAAGGTGTTTTGCAAAGTCAGTTAACAAAGTTTAAAATTTTGTTGGATAGTCAACTAGGAGAAAATCTTGCTTTTCCAGTCTTGAAATTCTCTGAAGCTTTTATAGATGAGGGTAAGGTTGTGGATTTGGTGTATCTATATTTTCAGGAAGCATTTGACAAGGTGCCGCATAAAAGGCTTGTTAAAAAAATTATACCAACAGGTGTTGGTTCATTAGATAGAAAAGTGGCTCAATCGAAGAAACCAAAGAGTTGTTATAAATGGAGTTAGTCAAACTGGATTAACGTCACAAGAAGGGTACCTCAAGGCTCAGTGTTAGGACTTTTGCTCTTTTTTTATTATTTACATCAGGGACGAAGATGAAGGAATTTTCAATAAATTACTTGAATTTACTGGGTGTATTTGGCTGTGAGGATGCTGCTGCTGCTTTATAAAAGGATTTAGATCTTTTGGTGAGTTGGGCAAATAAATGCAAGATAATGCATATGGGTTATCATTATTTGAATTATAAGTATAATTATGATGGGAATAACCTTAACATGGTTATGGAAGAAGAGGATCTTGGCATTCTGGTTGATCAGTCTCTTAAGACATCTAAGCAGTGAGCTGTTGCTAGTGGTTGGGCAAATAGGAATTTATGTAATATCTACAGAAATATTGAAAACAAGTCTAAAGATGTTGTAATTTCATTGCATAGGTCACTGTTTAGTCTTGTGTGTGTGGGGGGGGAGTACATTTAGGAAATGCATTGCTTCATTACAATGTACTGAATGTTTAGTGTACAAAATAGAGGTGTTATGGTAGAATATGTATAAACCATAACTTGTGGACTAACATTAATTATTTAATTATTATTCTGTTTATTGGTTATTTTTCATTAATCAACATTGGTACATTGACTGCTAAATAAAGCTTTGTTTTGCCTAAGTTGGCTGTAAATCTTTTCATTGGCTTCAGTAAGATACTCCTGCAATGCTAGATTACTGTATATGTACGAGTATCACATGCAATATCAGTTACGTGTACATAATATGCATTTTTATTTTTAAGTTATGAAAACATGATTACTTTTCTATGTAGCATCTTTTTTTTTTAACTGCAAATTAATGTTTTATTTCATTTATATGGATTACATCTAAAATAAAAGGAGTTTCAATTACATATAAACTAGTAGTTACGCATAGTGGTACCATTGAAGGTTTGAACTTTCATTCTGCAATGTGTTCCAAACCTTCGAAGATCCAAATCTACCTTTTGTTACACTTCCAAAAAAAAGTTTTAATTTTTTGTTTTAGTTCTGTAATTTGGTAATTAAATTTTGTGTTGGAAGATCTTTGTTTAGAATTTTAAGTTTTGGACTTTCTTATTTATTTATTTTTTCAATATTTAGAGATAACTGGGTTTAACCTAGTGATTAGCATGCTTGGACAGTGAATCCAAGGGTTCATGGTCCATTGAAAATGCACTCAACTCTTTGAGACCACGGACGTTCTGTAAGAGTGATAGTCAAATCCCACTAATTGGTCAGATAAACATATTTCAAGAGTTGGTGGTGGTTGCTGTTGACTAATTGCCTTTCCTCTAGTCTTTCGGTTCAAAATTATTCACAGATGACCATTCTGTAGCTTTGCACAAAAATTTTGAAACAAATATTTAGTAGGTTTCAAGTTAAGCCTAAGTTTAAGTTCATTATGAAAAGTAGCCTTTGTTTTAAATGTGGTAGAGAACAAATGTGTTGAAGTGAACTTATTATTTTTATGATAATGGTGAAACATAATTTCTTCAAAGACAGCATAGTATTATTCTTGTTATAAATATTTCAATCTTTGTTTTTTTCTGCTTGATTGTTAAAATTGTGGTAGATTTATTTTGTGAAATATTTTTTGTAGGTAATGAAGTCTTCATTTTTAATGTGCTAAGCATTGGTAACTGATTAATTTGTAGTTTCATTACTTATGTAGGAAGTTGTTTTTTCTGTCAGTATCTTTTTTCTTTTTTTTTCTCTCTTTCAATGTATGCACTGTTCTTAATATGATATATATATATATATATATAGAGAGAGAGAGAGAGAGAGAGAGAGAG